CCTCTTTGAACAAACCTATTTTCCGCCTCCTCGTCCTGGCTCCCAGGTGATGCAGCATCAGCACGTCCTGTGCTGTAGTATCCTCCGGGCTGCCTGATCTTCCTTACGTCTTCTCCCTCCTTGATGATCTTGTCTCCTGGATGCAGCAGGGCTGTTGGCAAAGTGCACAGAGAAAAGAGTCATGCCTTGCCCTGGGATCAGGAGCCCCATTTCAGCTGTGATTTGCTGTAGGCGTAGCAGTCTTCAGCTGAGCCACAGCCATGTCTGTTCCTGGCTATGGACCTGCTGATCCTGACTATGGTCTGACTTCCCGGCTTGACTTTGGACCCGCCCCATCACCACGAACTTGCTTCGTGAGCTGCGCTCTTGGTTGAACCAGACTACCATCCCTGGGGCAATGGGACAGGGCCCTGGCTGATCTGCAGCACCCTTTGATATCTCAGCTCTGCTCTGGCCCTGCCGCTGATATTGCTGATCCTAACCGGCAACGTCTGCCATGGCTCTCTGAGGGCTGCAAACATGCTCCATCAGCACCGCCCCCTGACATGAGTAATGCTTCTGGGCTTGGGAAGAGACATGAACTTTCAGATTTAGTGCATTCACATCAGGCCCTTGGTCTTTGCTTTACCTCTCTGCAGTGTTGGCTCGGTGATGTGAACATTGCGGTCTTTGCACAGCTGGGAGCTCTTCAGATAGCTCATGACGGCATTCTGGCGATACCGGTCAACCAGTCCTCCCAAGTCAGCCTCTACAGTTGACGGCAGGCAGTGCTCATCAACGGGGCCATCCCCAGATCTCACCATCCGGCACTTTTCTTTCCGTTCTATTGGGCTGTCTTTATTCTGCAAGTAAAGGTCAGGTCCCGATTAGCATTCGGTTGAGGCCCTGGAGTTGCTGCATTCCCTTCAGAGAAGCTACAGGCAGGGATTCACCTCAGGCATGTGCAAACAGGAGTCAGCACCCTGCAATGGGATCGCAGGGACAGGCACTCCTCTGGGAGTGCAATTCCCATCCAGAGCTGGGTCCTCAGACAGGTACTCCCTGGAGGGCTTAGCAGAAGAGCAGCACACCGGGCACAGGTGCCTCAGGTGAAAAAAGTCTTGCAGTCACCTTCTTGTTTCTGATTGTGCCAGGGAGCCAGAGGCTCTCCCCGTAGCCGGTGACTGTGGGGCAGCATGCTGGCAAGAGGAGGTAGCCCTGGATTCTGCCAGAGTTCATCCAGCCCAAGATGAGTGAGTCACTG